CAGTGAGAACGTGGGGAGCCTGGGGCGGGGGCCACCGCAGGGCTTGGCTTCTCAGGATGAGCCCAGCTGTTTGGAGTGAGAGGCTGAGGGGAAGCAGTGTGGGCCGGGGAAAACCAGCCAGAGGAGGAGTTCAGGGCTGGAGTCTTGGGCAAGCCTCCAGCTCTCTCTGGGCCTTGGTTTCCCCACCTGGAATGTCAGAGAGGGCATGAGGCAGGAAACTCAGAGGTAAGGGGCTGGTGTGGGGGATCCTCGTAGATAAGAGTCCTGGGGCTGCTTAGCCTGGCATCCTCCCCAGAGTGGGCCCAGGGGGCTCTGATCTGGCTCTCCAGCTGGCAAGGATCCACTGCCTGCCAGGAGGTGCGGTTTGAGAGAGGCATGTTTCAGGGACACAGCCGCAGCCGCCCTTTTCCTGGCGCCTGTGGCCCTTGCCTTGAGCTGCCTGCTTGTTCTGAGGCTGCAGGGGAACCTGAACCCCTCCTGCTCCTCCCCACATCTCCCATTTCCTGTTTGCTTTATAAACAGTGTCTACAGTTTACATAGGGCATTAACCCTATCACCTAGTTCCATGCACAGAACAACCCACTGAGGGTAGGTACTGGTACTGTACCTGTTTACAGATGAGGAAACTGAAGCTCAGAGAGGTTAAGTGTCCTCCCCAGGGTCACAGAACTAGTAAGGGCAAAGTAGGACCGGACCTCAGACCCTCAGACTTGAACCTTCTGCTTTTGCATCTTGAGTCACAGGCAGCTGAGGCCAGTGCCCTGTCCTATGGCACCAGGCCTGGGGCAAGTACTCCCATCAGGGAGACTCTTGTCTAAAGCACACGGCTGACTAGGGCTCAGTACCCTACAAACAAATCCAGCAGAGGCCAAGAGTGAGCACCATGGCTAGAGTAAAATCAGGCAGCTCCTGGAGGGTCAGAGATGGTTGGGTAGAACTGGGGTTAGTGGAAGAAGCGAAGGCATTCCAGGCAGGGGAAGCAGCTAAGGCAAAGGCTTGGAAGTAAGACCCCACATAGAACAGTGTGGTGGGCACATGGTGCCCTCAATACATATGTTGACTCATGAATGTGGCCTGGAACAGGAGGGTTATATGTCAGGGAACTTGGGGAACTCAGATTGTCAGAAAGACTGAGCTTGAATTTGGCCTTTATTCTGTAGGCAACAGGGACCCATTGAAGGTATTGGAGCAGGGGACTGACTTGGCAAAAGCCTCATTTCAAAGTTTAAGTTGGCAGGCAGAATCAGGCAGGAGCCAGGGATCCATCCAGGTGGTAGTTGGAGGAATGCAGGTGTAGGGAAGGGCTCCAGGGACCTGCCAGAGCCCTAGCAGATCCAGCCAGGGGCTCTGAGTAATAAAGGGCCCATCCCTGAACAAGACTGTTACAAAGTCCCCTTCCAACCTGGGAGGGGCTCTCCTCTCTAGAAGGGGTACACCCCTTCTCCGTACCTCTGTCAAACCTGTCCCGTCTAAAGACTAGAGGCTTCATCCACTGCCCCTGCCCCTCCTCCTCCTTTGGGCTGACTCCTCCAGCCCCCAGTTTTCCAGGCCTTGGCTGGGAGGGGATCCAGAGCAGCCTCTGTGGGATGACATCACCTACCGGCGGCCCGCCTGCCGAGTGGTTTCTCATTTGGATACCTGCTCGCCTCGCACACCTGCCGCCTGCCCAGGCAGCCCTGGGCAGGCAACATCCTGAGAGGCAGGTGCCAGAGAGAGGGAGCTGGGAGCCTGCATGTGCTGGGGGAGGGGAGTGCAGCCAGGAGGGCAGAGTGTCTGTGTCCATCTGTCCATCCCACAGCCTTTGGAGCAGCCTCCAAGAGGTGCCACCGCCTGTCTGCTGTGCTCTGGAATCCCTGGAGAATGTTCTCTTTTCTACCTGTGTCCCAAAATGTCAGTCTTCAGAAAGCTTAGGCCAGTTTTCCAAGGGGCTCGGGGGTCAGGGCAGTGGGGGCGGCATTTTTCCCCTCTTTGAAATTTTGCCTCAGATTCCCTTGGCTTGGATTAAAGTAAGCTGAGGTCTCTCCACTCCCCAGCACACCCCAGCTTGTCCTCTCTAGCAGCTTTTGGCCACAAACTCATCGCTCCTTGCTCTTCTGTGCCTCTGTTTCCCCATCTCGCCTTTCCCCCTTCCACAGTTGTCCAGTTTTCCCGAATGTCAGAGGCAAGGCCCTGCCTGGTTTAGCTCTAGTGACTTCTGAAACAAACACTAAATCACTCCATTCATCTGTTTGCCTATTTGTTCGTTTCATTCATTCATCTTGCAAACACTTACTGAATGCCTACTACCTAATAGGCCCTGTGGTCTGCTCAGCAGATGTAGCAACGGTCAACAAGGAACCCACACTCCAGTCTTTATTAAATGCCAACTGTGTGCTGGTTAAAGATAGGGTGAGGCAGGGTCCCTCTGGGAACCAGGGATCAATGGCTCTCTGCAGGCGGCATATAGTAGAGAAGTTCAGAACACGAGTGACCCCCTGTTGGCACGTGTGGGTTCAAGTCCCAGCTGTGTGACCTTAGGAAAATTGCTTACCCTCATGAGCCTCAGTCTGCCTATGTATAAAATGGGTCTATAACAGAACCTACCACAAAGGCTTGTTGTGAGGATCCAGTGAGACAATAAAATGACTCAGGTGCTTGGCATCGTGTTGACTGAGTGAGCTCCTGAGGGTCTGCTGTTAATTGTCAGTATAATCAGGGCTCTTGGGATTTGGAAGCTCTCTGACCTGCTGGGAGCTCCTCTTTTCTGTTTGTAGCCTGAGTTTTCCTTTCCCACAAACTGAAAGGAAGCCCCTGTATCTCACAGGGCAGGGGCTGGGCCTTTGTGTTAGGTTCACTGAAGAGGTGCTCTTGGCCACCGAGGCACTGCCGTCCCCCCAGGGGCACAGCGGGAGGTAGTCTCTGTCAGCACCATGCCCAGTGCTGCCTCTGTCCGGCTGGCAGGGGCAGGCGCAAAAGCTGGCCCCATCTGAGTGCAGAGTGGGCTGGCCCTGCTGCCCAGCTGTTGGTCGCATTTCTGCCTGAAATCCGATCCGGGCTTTGGTGGGGCTGCCTGGGGCTGTGCGTGTGCGGATCCATGTGGCAGGGCTCTGCAGGGACAGGGTCCCTTCTGGGGCTCCAGAGGGCTGAGCTGGGGCTGCAGAGCCCACCCCTGATGGGAGAAAACCGTCAGGAGCAGTAGGTTTCTTTCCTTCTGTTGCTCCCTGCCCTGGGTTGGATGGGGCCTTCCTCATGGAAAGACCCAGACGTCTAAGCGGTGCCTCCCTCCCCTGGCTGCACCTGGGAACCACGGGGGAGGAGGGAGTGTCCAAAAAATACCGACCAATTAAATCTGGACCTCTGGGGGTGGGGCCCAGGCTTCAGTATTCTTTCAAAGCCCCCCCAGGCAATTCTGTGGAGCCAAGTTGAAGATCATTGTGCTGGAAGAATGGGTGTCTGGAAATAGAAATCCAAGAGGCAGTTCTTTAATAGAAAGAGAGATGGGCTTGAACCTAAAACACTGAGTGAGTTTGGTTCTCTTCATAGTAGCTGTGTGAGCTGAGGCAAGCCTCTTGCCCTCTCTGGGCCTCTGAGTTGTCTTTTGTGAAATGGGAAGGTAGAAAGGTTGTGGTGAGGATAAAATGGGACAGGGTACGTGCCTGACACAGGCCATGTGCCGAGTTAGACTCAGGCGTGTAAGGAATGTGGCTGTAGGCTAAAGCACCAAGGGAGCCGTAGGGAACCTAGGGACCCTCTCAGCCATTTCTATAGCCATGCAGGTGGTGGGTCCCCTAGCCTTCCAGGAGATTGACAGATGTATAGGGTGGTAGACACATAGTTAAAGTGTGGTAGGAATTCCCTTTGGGCTGCGGGTGGTCTGAGAAGGCTTCCTGTAGGAGGTGACCGATAGGTCTCTGGTTTGTGGTTCCTTTCAGCTCCTAGCAGGGCATGCCCTGTCTTAGGTGTTTTGTCCCCACCTCTGGGAGCCTACAGCCCATCTGCCCTCCTTCTGCAGAGCCCCACCTTTTGACCACTCAACTGCCAGAGGGTGGCTGGAGGCTTCCCAGAGCCTGACCACAAAGCCCAGCCCTAAAAGGTAGAGGGAGACTGAATCAGTCTCCATGTGGCCAGAGGGCAGCCACCAAGCCAGAGTGAAGCCGGCCTAGGGCTGGTCTGTCTGCACCAGGCCCCTGGGCTCAGTGGCAGCGCCTTGGTGAGCCGAACTTGAGGAAAAGTTGGCGGGGGGCGGGCTGGGCTCGCCTGGTTGCTGGCGCTGGGACTTTCTTCTTGGGTTTCAAGTAAACAGTCTCGGCCCTCCTCCCCCTCCCCTGCCTCCACCCCTAGCTCCTCATTCGATGGGTCTCATGTGTTTCTATTTAAGGGTTGCGAGTAAACCCCAGTGATTGGCGGCCTCAAACCCTCTTGACTTCTCGCCTGGGCCCGGGCTGTGGAGACTTCTCTGCTGCTCGCTCCCTCTCCCTCCCGAGGGGAGGACCGCTGCTTCTCTTTCCTCTGGGTTCACAGAGGCTGGGGGGAGAGGCACGAGCCCTCCTCCTTGTCTTGCCTTGCCTTTCGCTCTCGCTCTCTCTCCTCCGTTCGGCCTCAGCCCTCATGGGCGGCCCTCCTGTCGCGCCCCTGCCAGCCGAGGGGTCTGGGGAGACCACGTCCGCACCAGGCCTCTCCTCCCGCTCGCTCGTGCTGGTGCCGGGCTGTGACTGACTCATCGCAGCGGCAGGCTCTTCCTCTCGGGTTCCTGGGCCTCCGCTCGGCCCCGGCTGTCCCCCCTCCCCTCTCCGGCCCGGCTCCCCATGTCCCCCGGTCCCCGCGGCGCAGCGGGCCGGTGTGGGGGCTTGCTATATGGCCTGTCCTTGGGGCCCGGCGAGCTGCGAGCCCCGGCTGCGGGCGGCCCCTCGGAGCGGCAGCAGCGCTGGCGACCGAGCAGCCTCCCCCGATGGACAGGGGGCGCCCCGGCCGCGGGGCCATGGCCGGCCGCTGGCTCACCGCGTGCTTTCTGCCCTCACCAGGTGCCGACACCAACGCCGAGCCCATGATCCTGGAACAGTACGTGGTGGTGTCCAACTATAAGAAGCAGGAGAACTCGGAGCTGAGCCTCCAGGCCGGGGAGGTGGTGGATGTCATCGAGAAGAACGAGAGCGGTGAGTGCCCAGATGGCCGGCCTGGCTCCTGGGACGGACAGACGGCCGGACGTCTGGCTGGTTTTGTTCCCTACCTCCTCCCCCACCTCTGCAGCTGTACGTTATTTCCATCTGGTGGGGGAGAGGGCTGAGGAGGCCGAAGTTTCCCCTGTTGGTTTGGGCTGCAGGCCAGCACTTTGCCTGGTGGTGGAAGAATGTCTCCCCAGCCCCGGGGAAATGAACCGGCTTGTGTGCATGCGAGGCCAGGGTGGCAGAAGCCGGTACAACGGCCCAGCCCCTGTTCGGGGTCCCCGTGCTCACTGAGGCCACAGGGAAGGTGGCTCCTGGCTCAGGGGGCACCTTAGGGCAGCTTCCCCTGTTGGTGCCATCTTCCAAGCCAGGGTCTGGGCAGGGGCAAGAGAAGCCGACTAGCTGGTGGGGAAGGCCGGCCATGATGTCACTGTGGGGGGCCAGGGTTCTTGCCCACCCCCTGCAACGGGTTGTCTCAGGAAAGGCTAGGCCTGTGGGATTTGGCTAGTGTCTGGGTGGTGAGCTGACTGCCCCCTGCAGAGCTGAAGGCCGCCAGGACCTGGGAAGAGGGCCCAGACAGGGGGAGAAGGGCCAGGGAGGGCCCTATGGCAGCTGCCCTGTCATTGGGAGCTGAGGCTTTGTCTCGTCTGGAGCCCTGCCCATGGCTCTCCAAGGGCTGCTGGTTCCACGGTCCTCACCGGGACCACAGGTGCGGCAGGCATCTCTGTACGTGGAGGGAGGAGCGCCTGAATCAGTCAGTCTGAGGTGCAGGGCCAAGACTTCCATCAGCAGTTTGCCTGTATCCCGCTGGGGCTTGAATTGGTTGCTGGGGTGTTTTGTTTTGGTTCCAGTTAGCTGCAAGGGAGGGTCCCTTGCACGGGATCCTCTTTGGGCAGTATTTGGACACTCCCAGAGGGGAGGGGCCTGGTTTTCTTTTCCTGTCCTGCTCAGTTCCCTTCCCTTCCAATATTTTGAGCCCTGAAAGGGGGACAGACCAAAGGATGACTGTACCCATTCTATAGATAGAGTAACCGAGGCACAGACAGACTGAGGGGAAATGAGTCCTCTGAGGGCAAAAGCAGAACAGGGACATTCCTGGGCCCCTGAGTCCTATGCCTGTGGGCAGCAAGTAGCTGTAGAGATGCTGAGGAAATCCCAGCAGACCTCCTGGGGGAGGTGAGCTCAGGCTCCTGCTGCAGGAGGCTCAGGAACTGTGCTCTCTGAGAACAGAGCTGTGATGCCAACATAGGTCTGACTCCTGGCCCTCCTGGGTCTGGGGTCCTGACAGACCTTTCAGAGAGGTCAGGCTTTGTCTTTGTGCTTGGAGTCATTGGCAAGGTGGTTGGCAAAGGCCGTCCCCACCCAGCAGAGCCACACCCCTAGCCTAAGGCCTGAGCCCTTCACCCCAGGCACCCACACTGGTCTGCTACCTGCACACCTTTGCCTTCAGCCTTTGTCCTAGTACCACCCCTACCTACTCGTCCCCACCCCTCACCCCGCCTACCTCCCAGGAAGCTGGCATTGTCACAGGGGCCTGGCTCTGGAAACCCTGAGCACCTCCAGACCCAAAGGAAGAGATCTCTGATGGTGTTGGAGGCACCTGCTGAGGCAGACGTTTTGGAGCGCGTTCCGAGGGGAGAGATGTGCCCACTTCTCTGTATAAGGTCAGGGCTGCTCAGAAGTAGAGTTCTGGCTTAGAGACCCTCCTGCCACCTCCCCTGCCTTGTGTCACCAGCACAGCTATATAACCCCCATGGTTCTGGGTACCACCACTGGCCAGGATGGAAAAGACCCCACACGAAAGGAAGTCAGCATGCTCGGAGACTCTGATTCCCAGGGACGTCCTCCCTCTACCTTCCCATCCCATACCCAGGATTCTAGGAATACTTGGAAGTCCTACCTAGCGGGGGGAGCCCTGACAGAGTGGGGGCCTGGAGAAAGCGTAGAGACACCTCCACTCCTGAGGACTCCCTGATGGCTATGTGACTCCCCCGTCTGATGGAGCTACTGTTCTGGAAGCAAGATCCTGCCCACCACCTACTGGCTAGATGGCTGCAAGTCCCTTAATCCCTCTGGGCCTCACTTAACCCTTCTGTAAAATGGAGATAATTTGGTGGCTGCTTAGAAGCAGAAGCTGGAGTAATGACCTTCCTGAGCCTTCTTCCCAGGTCTGAACTCCATGGCTGGGAGCCCCTTTAGGGCCCTAGATGTCAGGTGGAGAGAGCCTCCCCAAACACGGCTTTTCTCCTTCTCCAGGACTTTTGTATCTTTACTTTTGGTGGAGAGAGCTGCTCAGCAGCGCATGTTTGCCCCGGGACCCTGGAGTGCTAGGTCTGCCATGCAAACCCACACTATCTGTTGCTGGCAGAAACCAGGGGGCCTGGCATGTACAGCCAGTTTAACCAGAGAAACTAAGTGGGTGGAGGGGAGAGAGCAAGAGGACCAAAGTGCAGATCCTTGGGACAGTGGTTGCCCAGTTCAGGAAGCTGGACGGCTGAGGTGGGGGAGGGGAGGTGTGTTGTGCATCCTGTAAGCTGGCTTGGGAAGGAGTGGTGAGTGAGGCTTTTGAACTCTCTAACAAAGACCCAATTGTTATGCCTCTGACCTTGGGACATGGTGGGCGTGTTAAGGCATTTCCACTCCAATTGTTGAGGCAGTAGCCCCAGTTAGCACCATCCCCACCCTGCAGGGCCTTGCCTTGCCCACTGAGAGCAGGGACTCTGCCTGTGTCCCCTTCTGTCTTGGCTAGAAGAAGTGTCCATGGAGGGGTCCACCAACCTCTGGCTCTGCCTGCTCATCCAAGCCCTCTGCCTGGGACCATAGACACCGAGCGATTTGGAGGTGTGGTTTTGTCAGGGCTCTGTAATTTCATTGGTCTAAAGAGAGATGTGTCTGGAAGGCAATTCAGAGTCAGTAAACAGTAAACACTGGTGCCATGTGATACGTTATCATTTTATTAGAATCAGGAAATGACCCCATGCGGTAGAAGGCTCTTTAAAAATTTTGTGGCTCAAGTAACAGACTGAGAGGTTAAGTCATTTTCTTAGAGTCCAACAGCTGAGATCTCTGCCCTCTACAGAGGACGTGGGGGGAGGGTGAGAATGGGCTCATCCCGGGTAGGATCACCACAAGCTGCTGACACTGCAGGTTGGGGAGAGACATGGGCTGGGTGAGATGACCACAGGTCTCCCTGGAACATCAGAAGGATGACTCTGCGTCCCGTCTTCCAGCATGGTGGTCATAGGTTGTGGGAATTCAGGTTGTTAATTGTTATTTTGAACTTGGGGCCAAGCAACAGCTGAGAGGATCTGATGTGTACCCAGCACCGAGGACAAGCCTGTTCCCGGGAATGTAGGTGGACAGAAGTCAAGGACTCCCAAAGTGAGCTGAGTGGCTTCAGGGAAACCCTTTTTGATCAAGCAGTGGGCCTGGGGCCAAGCCAGAAAGCACTCTTTTTTTCCATTCGTGAGCAGGGACAGATCCCGCAGAAAGATTCAACAGCTTTGCTTGCTTTGACAAGTCACTGTGATCTTGTCCTTGGGAACCCTTCCACCCTTCCCATAGACAGCAGTACCTGAGACCCCGCCTTTGTGGGAAATTCTTATGCCTCAAAGACCACATTGGCTTCGCCTTCAAGCAGGTATAATCTGGTCTGACTTCTGGCAGCGTGGTGATGGCAGGATCCCAGTTGCTCTGGTCTGTGTTGAGCAAAGCTTGTCTCCAGCTTTCCAGCATTGCTTCCTTCTTCTTAGGACTAGAGGCCCCAGGAGGACATGGGGCTATGAGTCACCAGATGCTCATTCTTTTCCTGCCTCTGCTTTCCTTCTCTGAGTCTTTGTTTCTTTTCTGGCCCCAGCATGATAACATTGGGAGTTCTTACGCTTCCTTCGAGGCATGTAGCTATAGGACTAAGATCATAGCGTTGTGCTGGCAAGGAATTTTGAGCTCCGTTGGTCCATGCAGGTGAGAAATTGTCCAGGTGAGAACACTCAGCCTTGGGGAGTTTGCACATCTCAGTCCCGTCCAAAAATCACTGCTTTAGTCCCAACTGAGTAGTGAGCAGAGGACAGAAGTCCACTCAGACTTGCTCAAGAGACGCTTGAAGACTGCAAAAAAATCTCACCAAACCTGACGATGTGAAGTACATCCCAGCCTCACGGGCAGCGGGGGAACCAGAGAGTCGGCCCGAGCCAGATCAGCCACGCTTGTCTCTATCTCGCTCTTGGGTGTACCCAAGATGTAGAGCCCCCTGGGATCTTCTCCCTGCAGAGCGGCCTGACTTCTCCTCCTGTCCCCTTAAAGCAGCTGCCTATTCATCTGCTGTTGGTCTGTGGCTTCTGGTTCTCTGAGTTCAAAATTTGAAGTTCGAATCTGAATCTGATTGGCCAGCCAGTGACTCGGCAGACCTTAGGTCAGATGTCCCGCCCCGGGCCACTCAGCTGCGTCCGGGAGAAGCCCCGCGGGCTAGAAACATGGCTACCTAGCCAAGCACCTCAGCAGTGGCTGTTGGAAAGCGGGTTTTAAAGAAAGGAGATATAGAGGGGTAACAAAAACGTGTTGGGCTGCAAACTGTTACTTGTTTGGCAGCTATGTGCATAGTGGAGAAACAAAGAATCTGGAATCTGAGCACTAGGTTTAAGATCTAATGTGACCCCGACTTTGTGATGTATGTAGGAATCCCTCGGTTTCCTCACGAGTGTAAGGGGGCAGTGATGCACACTGCATATGGGCTTTTCTGGAGGGGACATCAAATGTAACCGTTTATTGTTTGACAGAGAAGACAGACTCATAAGCTTTCCTCTCAGATTTGTGTGTCGTGATGATGATTTTGTACTGTCAAAGGCAATCCATTCTCCAGCCATGTGTTTTTGGGAGTTGGAATCCTTCTAACGTTGAGGGATGTATCTCTTCTGTTACTTTGAGATTTCCTGATGAACATTGTTGTAACTGGTTCTACATGGGCTTTTTATAAGGGAGAAATCTACTTATCTAGTATTCATTTATCCACCCATTCGTTCACTTCACAATTCTTGAATACCTCCTTTGTCCCAGGCCCCATGCTGGTTGGGTGCATACCCATAACGTTCCTGTCTTTATGAAGCTTAGATTCGCCTCGATGTGAGCATTCTGGGTAGTTAAGGGGTGGACTGTATTGTGAGGCTGGGGCAGCTTCTCAGACTTGACGATGTCTTCAGTGGACTTCTCTGAGGT